ATTTTATTGCGCTCTGGTTTAGCAGAAATGCGGAAATTGCATTTCTCTGCATTTTACAATTCAATAAATTTGAAGCAAGCTGCTCTTCGCCTTTGCGTTTTATGTCGTCGCTTCAGCATGACTCCATTTTTGTATATATAAAAAATGTATATATATTTATATATAATAATAACAATAAAAATTCCTCTATTCTGTTTTGTTATTCTATTTTTGTTTTGCGGAAAATTTATTTAGCCATCTTGGCTGGTTTATAACGCGATTAAATTGGCTCCCAGCTAACTGAATGACAGCTTATGTACGAATGTTGATGTTACTGAATAAAATTGGTTAAATGGGAATTAGATTACGCTGCAGTTGCAGTTGTGGGTGCATTCCAGAGAAGAGGTGCCGCTTATAAATTAAATTTCCGCCAACAGAGGAAATAAAAAATAAAGTGCAAATAAAAAAGAGGAAGGGGAAACCTTAAGTTAATATCACTTTTAAGTTGTTTATTTATTATTTTCTGTGTGCGAGATTTTGGCTTGAAAGAGTAGAGAGATGCTCATGAAACTTGGCAGGGATAGAGTAGAATTAATATGCAAGCTTCAGTAGGTTTGGAAATATAATATATGAAATTTATCGTAGCTCAGTTTTATATTTTGAACTAATTTGATTTTGGCTATGCAGCAGTTTGCAGAAATCCTGTTTGAAATCACTTATTTCTATGGAAAACCACTTTGGTTACTTACGTTAGATTAGAATATGCGAATAAGCTTTCCTGATCGGGCATCAAAATATAGAACCAGCATCCTGCTCAAGTTTCAAATTTAAAATGATCTGATGAGGTGAGCTAATCTGCAAGCTCTTACAACTTAATTATTCGATCTCTTTTAACAATCCAGATGTTTAAATCAGTTATTTAAAATGACGTAGCATAAAGAATCATACAAAACATTTCTTAGCACTTAGATCATAGATATCAATGATTATCGAATTCTTGCGAAATTCTTAACATATTCTGTTAGGTTTTTATAAATTCAATATCTGAAAGATTCAATATCTCAATAAAAAAAAAAAAAAAATCATGAATGTATCCATCTTAAAATGTGTTTATTATAATATTTATAAAACTGTCTCGAGTATTTAGTCAAGTATTAATTCGTGAATATGGCTTTATGGAGTGCAGATTTGGGGGATTGCTGCCAAATCCAACTACAAAAGAATCCAAGTACTGCAAAATAGAGTACTTCGACAGATCACAAACTGTCCCTGGTATGTACGTGGATCCACACTACATAAAGATTTAAAGCTGCATACTGTCGAAGAGCAGATTGGCAGGCACACAAGCAGGTACAGTGACAGACTGTTGAGACACCGCAAT